ATAAAGTACATACCTAAACAAATCAAAGGTATCACCTGAAAACTATTTAAATTAGTAAGACAGATCACACACAATTGGTAAATTCAAAATAAATATCCAATAGAACATTTTCTCTTAAATAAAAAATGTCCTATCAGAAAGTATAATTAGGAAAAGAAATAGTATTTCATCCTCAAAGACTACATCAAATACCTAAGAAAAACCTACCAAACAATATGAATTACTTAGCTAAATAAACTCCTGAAATTTGATTTACATAGTGAAGCAAAATGAAGTTAACATACCTAGAGAGAAAGTCTCAATTTTAAGGTGTTAATGTTCTTCAATTTAATCTGCTGATTTGCTGCAATTACAATACAAATTCCAATGCTTTTCTTTTTATTATTGTTGCTCAATTTGAAACTTGATTAATAAGTGTAAATGCATCTGCTAATATGTGCATAGAAGAAAATTGGAAATTGTTAGTAGTGGCAAGGAGTGGAAAAAATAGAACAAGTTTCTTTCCAAGTATATTTTATTTCCTTAATTTTTGTGGTGCTAGGGATTGGACCAAGGACCTTGCCCATGTCTTATCAGTGTTCTACCACTGAGCTACTGAGCTACATCCCTAGCCTGTTTTGAATATTATTACCAAGACAAAAAAAAAAAAAAAACAAGATTCCTAATCTGGACTATCTGGACTATCATATGTAACACAGACCCTTGAGGACATTGTCTTGGCTCTTATTATCTGCAGAAGGAGTCGCTGACCCCTTGAGAAGCCCATGAAGTCAAGGACCTCTAATCCCACCCCCTAAAGTATGCTTAAGCATACATATAGTCACAAAACAAACCTTGCGAATACAATTTCAGGTGGTCTACAGAGTTGGCCAGGTGAGAATGCCTATTCTAGGCCAATCAGTGTGGTCAGTCAGGATTGTTGCTTGGGTCTGGCCATACATTTGACTAAGGGGACCCCAAGGTGGATATGGACTAGCAAGCAGTGACCTTGCAGCAAGGCTAGTCTCTTCATAGGTGTCCTGGAGTTAAGGACGAGAGAAGCCCTAGAGGCTACACCTCTCAGGCCATGCGGTAGTAGCACATAGTGATAAAAACAGTATTTACAAGGGCACTATGAATAAAAACAGACAGTAGGCAGGCCTGGGAGTTAGCCCCAGCAATCAGGTGTTCAGGCTGTGTGGAAATTCTCAGCTGCAGCAGCAGGTGGGAACAGCAATATTTTCTATGCACAGTTAAGTTACCCCTAGAGGAATCTGAAGGATGGAGAGAAGGGGCCAAATGCATTTACTCAGGTCACCACTTTGGCTACGTATCCATGTATATTTTTGAAATAAGTAACAGAGTAAAGTATCTGAATTCAGTGGATGAAAGGCTCTGAAATATGGGAGGGGGTAGTAGAACAGCACCTTCCATCCCTCTTGAAAGGGCAGGGAGGATTTGAGTAGCTTGCACCCTTCACACCCTTAATTTCCTTCGATTCCCAGCTCATCCTTTTGCCCTGAGTTGAATCACTAAACTGGAATATAATCCAAGGACAGGTATTGAAACTGTCATCGTTATAACCATCAAATTACAGAAGGTTCACATGGCAGTCAGGAATGGTTTGGTAATATTAAATAAATGTGTTTCTTTAACAGAACAAGACAGGGTCATTTATTTGTCCAACTTAGAAGGTTCCCCAGAAGGAGGAAAATTAGCATTTATTTGTCCAAAATAAATAAGACTGGATAAATGAACACCTCTCCATGAATCAATTTACAGATCATATTGAAATATGCTTACCTTGTTGAGAAAAAAATCCATTTTTAGATGTTCAAACACCTTAGCGTGTTCTGAAAACACCACGTGGCCAATGGAATTCATTTTCTATGTGGTAAAAATTAACCAAAATTAATGGTGCCTTCCAATGAAGTGGGAAATCTTGTTTTGTTTACTTAGCAACACACGCTGTCCCTTTTTTGTTGCTGTTTCCCACACTGAATTCTTTTTTTATTGTAATTTTCAGTATAAAAATAAAGTGTGGTAATAGTTTTAAAAATAAAATAAGAATATTCCGAAGTATAGACCCCATTCCTATTTCTTGTTTCCTTTCTGATACCCTGTTCTTTATCTATAGGGGGGCATGAAACTGCAAGGGAAATGTGTGTGTGGGGGGGGTACTAGGTAAAGGCTGGAAGATTGGAAATAGAGGGACAAGTATCCATAGCCCAGAAAAGAATGAAAAAATTCCTCCAACAAAAAGCATATATACAATTGCTGTTCCAGAAGATGCAGCCTCTCCCAGGTAACCAGAGAAAAGCAAATTCTTACATGGAGAAAGGGCTACTTCTGTTCTGGCCTCCAGAACTACAAAGGCAAAGAATGAGTGACAGGACCTGATGTGGTGGGGTGAGATGAGAGTGGGGATAAAGGAGGGGGCTCACACTCTTGGTGGGAGTGGAAAGCGGGGACCCAAGCTTACTGGAGATGCAGCCCTCACGTGACTAGGAGCTGACGTGGGCAAAGGTACTTAAAGCCCTGGCCGCCCACTCTCTGTCCTCCTCTGGGTACCAACTCTATTACGCTGCGCACTGCTGAGCATTTAACCCAGGCCAGAAGGAGGAGGAGAAGGAGGAGGAGAAGGAGGAGGCGGAGGAGGAGGAGGAGAAGGAGAACATTTCCCCTGATCCCTGCAGGTGGGTGTGAGGGTGGGCATGTCCTGGGACCATTGAATACTCGCCTAGGGATGCGGGAATCTAAAGCTTCGCTTGCCTCTTCCTCGCCGCTTCAGGCCTGCTTTCAAGATTAGATCCGTGGCGCCCAGACGTAGCTTGTTTTGGTGGGTGGAGGGAAGACAGGGTGGGAAAGAAAAGATCTTGATGGATTTTGAGAGGAATCCGCTTGCTTCCTCTTCCAGCCAATGCTTTGTTTTTGTTTGTTTGTTATTTTATTTTTTGACACCCAGGCCCTGCACCCCACATCCTGTCCTGTTTTGAAAGGAGGAGGGAAAAGAAATAAACGTGGCAGCGCACACAAGGCCAGCGGGGAGGTTGGGAATGGGTGACCGCAGGGGCTGCAGTAGGGAAATAATTTGGACGTTTCGCTCCCGCCCTTACTTTGCAGACATCCCCCACCCCTACCATCCCTGTCCTCCCCTCCCCTCCCCTCCCCTCCCCGGCGAGCCCTCTGTCATTTGGGGGTACTGGGAAATGGGTGTGCCAGCCTCTGTAAAAGAGATGGCAGGTTTGGCGCTGTCTGAGCTTCACAGGAGGGGGGAACCCTGAAAACCACCGTTCTAATACCCAGACTGCTTTTACAGACACCTCTGGCTCGCAAGGCTTTTCACCCTCATCTTTTCAGTCCTGGAAAAGGAATTCGGGTATGTAGGAGGGAGAAATGGCGGTTATCGGAGGACTGGTGTGGGGGGAGGGGGCGGGAGGCGGAGCCCACAGCGGAGAAACCCTGGAAAATCACGACCCTGAAAGCGAGAAGGCAGACGTTAGGGCTCCTGTTCTGCAGGATAATGCAGTCTAACGCTAGGCCTGGAGGTTAAGGAGTAAAAAATAGGGGAGTGACACTAGATCGACTGGCTAAAATCCCCCATGCTGCGACTGATCCAGCATTCGGTAGAAGTACCCCGTCTCACCAATTCCCACCCACTCCTTCTCCCCCGCCCCTGCCGCCTCCCGTCGCCTCCCGCTAGGGTGCAGAAGAAGGGGTGTGGCGGTGTTCCTGGAGAAATGGCGGCTGGGGGCGGGGCAAAGAGGAAGGAGGGGTTGAGTGCCTGGGGAGCCTGCGCAAGAGGGGGGATTGGGAGTGGTATAGGAGGAATAGAGGAAACGAGGGAATTGAGAGGTAGAATTGTTGAACATTTTGGTGTGCGAATAATACTGAACGGCGATTAATAGGAATCTTGTTCTGGGTGCTGATCCATCCACCAGGCTTTCAGTCTCCAACGTCTGCAGTCTGTATTTCTGCCCTTTAGTCTGTCTTTAGCATGAAGCTCTAACTGAACCGAAGGAAGAAGCAACCCTGAAACCTCCGAGGTCAGTGTTGAGGGTGGCAACTGTCTGGGGACCGTCGTGTGGGTGTGGCAGAAATCAGAGCAGAGTAAGACCATAGCTCCTCCTCCTGCATCTTCTCCTGAAAAGATACCCCTTGCCCAGGCCAGTATTTTTTGGTGCAGAGGAAGGGGTGTGGCATTCACCTTAGTTAATAGTTTAAGGAGAAAAGGCTAGGGAGGAAAAAAAGGAACCTTAGTAGGGGGGAGGGGGAGGGATTTTGATCCACAAGAATACAAATCATGAAGGGAACCAGAATATGTTCACCAAAGACTCAAAAAAAGCCTTTTGTTATCTGTCTGCAGGTCCATTTGCCTCTTAGGCTCTGTGCAACTGCAGGTCCAGTGGAAAACAGCTAACTGCTTCTCATCCCAGGAAGGTGGTATGTGTACCATCTAGGCACCTACACGGGTGGGGGTGGGGACTTCAGGACTGAATCTGAGAGTTCTCACTCTCCACTAGTCTTCATACTGCCTCTCATCTAGGGTCAAGGAAATTCTGTTTTCACTGAGAGGACAAGCTAGGGTGAAGATAGGACCTGTTCTCTAAATCAGCAAACACAGGCCGTGGCACATGTATTTGGATGCTAGCACACCCACAAAGTGTTGTGCTCCTAAACTCTCTTGTAAGTAGGCCTGGTTAGACACAAAGGGAGCCAGAGCCCTAAACCTCATTTTTTTTATTAAAATTTTTTTATACCTTTATTTTATCTATGTATTTTTATGTGGTGCTGAGGATCAAAACCCAGGGCCTCACACATGCTAGATGAGCACTCTACTGCTGAGCCACAACCCCAGCCCACCCTAACCTCATTTCTAACATTTACCCCAGGGTTCTGCTCAGCTCACAGCCTCAGCAAAACTCACAAGCCTGAGCTGAAGACCTCACCTTGGCGTGCACACATCCCACTTAGGCAAGCCAATTCTACACCCTGGATCAGAGAATCACAGCAGTTGCACCATGAGCCGTGTTCGGGATGCTGGCTGTGTAGCTGCAGGGATAGTGATTGGGGCTGGTGCCTGGTACTGCGTCTACAAATACACCAGGGGAAGAGACCAGAAGAAGAAGAGACTGGCCAAGCCCAAGAACCGGGCTGCAGCTGGGACTGGAGCCAGGGCTAAAGCTGGGCTAAGGGCTGGGTTCACTATTGACCTTGGGCCAGGATTCAGTCCCCCAGCCCCAGTCCATACTGGGGCAGAGGACAAGGCTCAGGATGAAGCCTCTGCTCTTGATACTACAGGAGCTGAGACAGTGGTCCCAGCTGTGTCTAGCCCTGAGGCTCAGAGTGGGGCAGGAAATCAGGTCCAGGAGACAGATGGAGCTGGAGTTGGGCCTAAGACTGAATCAGTAGTCGTGGCTGCAGCAGCCTCTTCAGTGGCACCACCTCCTATAGTGGCAGAGGCTCCCACAGCTGCAGAGGTCCCTGCAGTGGCAGAAGCTCCCAGCACAGCAGAGGCGTCAAGGGCTTCAGCACCTCCCAGAGCGGCAGTGACTCCCGGGGCAGCAGCACCTCCCAGGGCAGCAGCACCTCCCAGGGCAGCAGTGACTCCCGGGGCAGCAGCAGCACCTCCCAGGGCAGCAGTGA